GGGCATCCCATTCACAATTCCAGTCGCAGTGGCAGTGCTGCCCCGCCTCCCCCTTGCCCACATATCAAATTTGTTTTCGCGATATTCTGGTATACCGTTGTCAACAACAATAAACTAGGGAGGTAAATGCAAATAAACAACGCTATCGGATTACGTGCAGCCTTTAATTGTTGTTTTGCGGGACAAATAACAAATAAACGTAAAGGCATAAATGAGCAGTATCGATCATTTCCAGATGAAACCGAATAGTTTGGATGAGTATCTCTTTCAGTCTTTCTCTGATGAATCTCGAAATAACCTTGATTATGCGCCTACATTCATACATAGGCAAACGTAACCGCAAGTCAAGTGCACAACTGGGAGGTTGCACATAACGGGAAATCGAACAGCAACGAAACGACAAAGTGAAGAGAAAGAGAAACGAAACGAAACAGAGAGCTATGCAACAAAAATACAATTTCTTGGGGGCTCGACTCGAATGGATAAACAAACAAGTTTTCATCACATGGCATGTGGGCTGGGTGCGAGCGGACCAGATACACATACATATGTACATCCACGAAACATACATACATATGTATTTACAAACGCATGCATGCATGCAGTTGTTGCTGCTTTCCATTGAACGCCGAAGGCAACAAACTTTCAACAAAAGAGCAGTGTGCCAGAGGGCAGAGCACCTCTGCTCCGTCAGCGGGAGCGGCACACACCCCCGTTTCGCTGGCATAACCATAGCATAGCCCGACAGACAAGAAGCCACACACTCTGCCGCTCCACTCCGAACCCCCTCCACCCATCAACTCATACACTTGTGAAGGCAAAAATAAAAACGCCTCATCACGTGATATTGTGGTTGTATTGGGCAAGAATTTCTGCTTCTTCCGCTCAACGAAATGCGTGCGCGCGTACAGTGAGAACAAAAGTTGTGTAAACATATGTACATTTTTGCTGATATCGGAAGATGTATAAAAACTGTTCTCTCAATACACATTTAGAATGAATGAATGCTCAGCCTGCAAACCAGAAAAAGCTTCCCACCGAAACGTGGACCATACTTATTGCTCGCACTGTAGAAGTTTTCTGTTTTCATACATATGTATATACGCATTGCATATGTATGTAGGTCACGTTGCAATGCCAGGCCAGGCCATTCTGCACTTCGCAACGGATTTTGGCCAGAATTCTGAAATGCTACTACTTTCTTCTGCTGTTTTGCAGGGTGGTTTCAAAGAGAGAGGGAGAGACAGCGGGAGAGCTGTTTCACAGCTGCCCTTCAGCTGGATTCACGCGAATGAGAACCAGCTTGTGTAATGCTATCTACACGCTTTCCCGATTAGTTTTTTGTGCCGTAAAAGAAACTGTGTCAATCAACAATGATGCTATAATGCTCAAACCCCATTTACATTGGCGATTGATTGTGTCCGAGATCAACGAAAGATACGCTTCCCATAGAGGACCCCACAAAGCCGTATAGAAGTCGACTGATAAGCGGCCATATGCATATTATAAAAGCCAGCTGCAAATTAACTGTAAATATACATATGTATGTACATATGTGTAACTATTTGCTTTGTGCTCTAATCGAGTGGACATAGGGAACTAAGCCTATAGCAATTGACGTCAAGTGCTTGGCAGGGATATGTATGTACATATTTATATTGCTATAGATAATGATGAATCTAAGCCAAACAAAGAGCCTGTTGTGCGACTTCAATTAACAGCTGCACTTGACTCATATTGCAAAATCTAACAAAATCGAATCAGTATTATATGTACATATGCACTCGTATATATCTGATACACCCTAAACTTGGACTTTGGGCGACGGCAATCAGGGGACAACAATGGCAGCACACAATAAATATGACTCCCACATGATAAGGTACCGGTAAAGGTAATTTCCGATGCCGATAAGCAATATACCGTTTGTACATATATGTCTGTGTATATTTCTGTGTCCCGATGATGAATTGCAGCTAAGAATTCTAAAATTTCTGATAGCAGGAGGGGAGCACGCTTGAAGGTCGGCCATTAGCTTATATTAACTAAAAACAAATACATATGTATATTTGCATTTAGAAATTCCGCCCCAGAAGCCACGCTCCTCAGACTGACTTTGCTCTTGAACCCCATAGAAAATCAATCAAAACAAGGCAATTTACACCCACTGATAACACCTCGTGGAACAGGCCCAGGCACAGGCCCTTGGAAGCGTCAATGCAGTGTAACTAAATAGTAGAATGGGGAATATTGAGAACAGAAATCAGATGATCTCTAAACAAAAGGGTACACGCACGAGTGACTTGTTCGCGAGCCAAGTGCTCAAGCTCTGTGCCTCACGTTCAAGTGTTTGTAACAGGAAACCGTTGATAGACATGGTTATAAGAGCGCGGTTATGTATAAAAATGGAAATTGTTTCAAGGGATCCCAGAAATAGGACCTTATCAGTAAAGTTAAATTCGTTTCATTAGGTAAAATCTGATTTGCGGCGCAGTTTTCTATGGTCATCGTTTCCTAAAGAAATCTTGACTGCTGGAGGAACAAATCAAGTATTTGCTTGAGGTGTGTGTGGGTCTACTGTACTTAGAACCAAAACCAAGCAGAAGTTACCCAAGTAAAAATAATTAAAAGTCCACACTAGATACTCATTGGGTGAATCAGAGATCAAAATCCGACCGACAAAATTTAATTGCCGCAATTAAAGTGGTTACTGAAATGACAGGTCCCACTGTTTTGTGCATGTGTGTGTGTCTAGCGCATTGCTTTACCTGTTACAGATGCCAGGCTGACGAACTTTCTGGCATGAGCGAGAGATTCAGCGAGACAACAGGTGTTCCAGAAACAAGCAGCAACATCGGCAGGTAGGAGAAGGAGGAAATGTGCAATGAGAGGAGAGCCTAATATGCAGAAGGGAATAATCCAGAGTGATACACTCCCCTCTCCTTCGTTGAAAACTCAATGGAAGCAAAGTCACTGCAGCGGCAGTGGCAGCGACAGCTGGGGGTGATGATCATTCAACGGCATCGACCAGAACAACCAAGTCAAGTCGATTGATTATTTTAACGATCGAACGCTGCTGACGCTATTCCCCGTCGATTATACATACATACATATGTAGATGGCGACCGCGTGCCACTGCTCCATTGGTCAAATGATAAGGCCGTAAGGCAACTGTGCATACTCGTATTCCAACCATACATTTATATGCATATGAATGTACATATTGCACAAAAACCATGAGTAATACTCCGACATTTGTTTTGATCTCCCATTAGTTTGTGTCTCCTTTTGATTGACATGTTTATACCCATTCTACAAACGGAGCGTTACACACACCCACAAATACATTTACATTTACATATCAAAAGCAAGACTTATACATATCCCATACCACAGCTATATATAGACTTTTACAATAACAAAACATTTTCATCACATTCCTAAATAGGTTCCGTTGAACGCGCCTCCCAAGCAAAACAAACAGCTCGACCTTCAGCATCTCGATAAAAGTATATGTACATAAATGTATATACCACACATCGAACGAATGTAAATGCGATGTGTATGTATGCGTTTGTTTGTGTAGCGTAGCCAGCCCATTTATTTGTTTCGTTGTTTTCGCTCTACAAAAGTACGTTGTCCCGGCCTATGGAACATGTTTTCGTGTGGAGTGGATTTCAGCTGCGTCGTAGTTTCCATGGCAGAGACGAGCCCCCTTCGACAATTTGGAGCACTCACACACAAACAGTAGGCTCCCGAATCACCTCCCTTGCGACCCACAAACACCAAAACGGGCCATCAATTCATTTCAAATTCACGCAATAAAAGTCGCTGAACCGGAGTCAGCTGTTCTATGTACCTACATACATACATACATACATATGCATATATGTACATTCATAAGTGCAGGCGGCAAACAAAAAGAACACAAAACTTACCCAGGGGCAAATCACAGAGCAGGCAACATGCTGCTAGGGAACCGGCCGAAGCTCCCCCAATTTTCTCTAGCAATAGGTGTGGAGCATATTTCTTGAAACAGACGGCGACTCCGACGTGGTAGATGCCCAAGAATCCGCAACCAGCAAATGATAGATTCATGCTTTGAATACTATTTATGTATGTATGTATGTGTTTCGACTGAGAACGGGTTGACGTTGTTTTCTATTTGTCCGTCCGCTCGTTTTGTTCTTGTCTCTCGCACTTTCTTCTCGCACTTTCCAACGAATTCTCTTGTTTACAATTTTCGTGCTTCCAGCTCTTTTGCGATACAAATTTCCGAATGTGCAATATATCTCGTTCTGTTATCACTTCAATAATAAAATAATTTCTGCGCCGCACTTGTGATGTTGTCTTCCCGTTATTTGTAAATGGTCGTTTCTCCGTTATGTTCATGAGATATATATAAATATATTCGCTCGATATAATAGTTATAATTTGTATTGAGGTGATCGATAGGACATCGATATTTTTGTGCGATAAGCGAAACCAAAGAATACTGGAATCTATACTATAAATCTGAATCTGAAAATCTGTGTGTAAGCGGCTATCTCCGCATCGCGTGCACCAAATTACATGCTGTTGTTTTTAAAACAAATTTTTACTTTTTTATACATATGTAGGTTCCTCAAGAATTAAAAATTAAACAAAAAAAAACTTAAGTTAGGTCCAAAAGTGTGTGTTTGAACGCCTATTTCATTTAATTTCTCCACAACGCCTGCACCAAATTGCATGCTGTTTTTTAAATGATAGCCAGAGTATGTGCCATTGCTTCTAAACAAAAGTTTTTACTTTCTATAAATAAGTTTCTCAAAAATTAAAAATTATTAAAAAGAACGCCTATTTCATTTCATTCTGTGTCATTATGTAGAACATGACATTTTATGTTAGATTTTGTTTTTATACCCTTTTGTAATTTGTGTAAGTATATTTGTTGCTTTTGATTATCATTGTTTTATTTCGCTGAATTCCTAAATATTAAATGCATTTAGTAATCAGCGAAGCGCGCGGGTCTGCTAGTACTACTATAGTTATCTGTATAGTATAAAAAAAAAACACCCACATGACCTAGTCTCAGACTCTTCATTAGAATCTTTGCACCTTAACATTCATGCATTTAGGGGCTATATATGATTTGGATTGACTATTTTACTTGACACATTTGAAAATTCGATTTCCGATTCTGCGATATCAACACTGCGATAGTGGGCGCTTGCAGCGGCGCATCGCTAGTGAGTATACATCTGACAAATTTTCCATCGCTAGAAAAATTCGCTGGAGCCTTGCAAAAAATACGTATTCATGAAAAAATGGAACTAGCTAGGAAATTGCGAGAAAGCGGCTGGTAAGTGAAGCATAAACATTCCTAAATCGATTGCCACTAACCGCTCACACAGGCACCTAACGGACGAGGGCATCAAGACTCTGACCGCCGCTGTCGGGGAGGACACACGCAAAATTATTGATGAGGCACTGAACGTGAGTGAGAGTAGGCGGACCGGCTGGCAGCCGTCTAATAGCTGTTCTTATTGATTTCAGCGCGATATCCGCGATATTGGCGGTGGAGCTCTGCCAGTTAAGCGCGAGGATGCCCCTATTTCGGGCCGCATTGTCCTGCAGGTTCAGCGAGTACGCAATATTGCGGCACCCAAATGCAACGAAGAGTCAAAGGCGGCGCCACGCCTTTTACAACTGGACTTGAGCGATGGACAGAATTGCATACAGGGCCTGGAGCTGGAATCGGTGCCGGCGCTCAATCTGAACGTGGCCCCCGGCTCAAAGATCTACTTCAAGGCGGATAAGCTGCAGCTCATGCAGGGATTTCTGCTGCTGCGCCCCAACGAACTGCAACTGCTGGGTGGTCGCGTCGATGCAATGTACGAGAAGTGGGATCTGGCCCGCACCATGCTCAAATACGCCCGGAGCGGGCGCCCGTTGAATGGAACGTCTGTGCCGCCCCCCTGGGTGGCCTTTGGCAAGAAATTCGACTCGACGGCCGACCGCAATTTCAGGAGCCACGCCTTGGGCGATAAGGACAAGCCGGCTAGAGAGAACGACGAATTCAATGCCATGCGCAACGAGGCCATTGCCGTGGCCACCAAAGCCGGTGGCAAGAAGGTCTTTGGTGGCGGCGGACAGAACATCGTGGACCACAACATCAAGAAGATTCTCGACAAGGGCTTCTCCGAGGAGGAGGCCAGAAGCGCCCTCCACGTCACCCGCAATAATCTGGAGCGGGCTCTGTTTAACCTCAAGCGCCGCAAAGAATCCGGCGGTGGACCCGTCGAAATGGATGTGCGGCCCGGCCGCAGTGATCGGCACGGCAGAGAGGGCAAACGAGGCGCCAGCAGCAAGGATGAAGCCGAAGCAGCCAAGCCAGCAGCTAATGCCACACTCTTCGATTTTCTGACTACCAAACTGCCCGCAACGGAGGCAGGCACAAGCAACGCCGCCACCGAATCCTCCGCTGTCGCATCCACTGCCAGCAGCTCAGTATTTAAGCAATATGGCCCCCGATTTGGGGAATCTTCAATGGCTAACAAATTTTCAGATCGTTCTCGCTTCGAGAACAATGTCTCGAGCAGCTTTGCAGCCAATCGAGGCGGTTACTCTGGCCTAGGGCGTGGCGGGGCGCGTAGCCGAGGCGGTGGTCGAGATGAACGTCCGCCCAGAGAGGACCGACCAGCACGAGACGATCGTCCACGTCGAGAAGAGCGGCCTCCTAGAGATGAGCGTCAACCGCGGGATCGCGGAGGTGCATTTAATGATCGCGGCAGTGGGCGAAACAAGCCGGATCCGGCCCCAATCAAAAATTCCAATCGCAATGGCCCAGAAAATCCACCAATTAAAAGCAATCCAGAGGTAAAAACTGAGCAGGAGGCTCCGAATCCGAATGCCAAGGACCAAGCGGCCAACCGGCGTGGGAGTGAGCGTCGAGGAGGCGGCTCAGTCCGTGTAGAAAATGGAACTGGCAATAACAACAGACGTCGGCCGCAACCGGCAATCAATTCGGGAGCTGGAGCAGCCAAGCCAGAGCCTAAGCAGCAGAACAATTTGGGCGAGGACTTCAATGCGCGCCTGAACAAAGTCACCGAGGACACGGCCAATCTTAAACTGAGTGCACCGAAGCGAGAGAGTCAACAACGCCGTCAGAGAGGCCAGGGACAGCCGAACCGTCAGCCAACGGAGCCTCCACAGACAGCACAGGGTTCACAGCCTTCACAGAAGTCCGAAAGGGCCCAGCAGACTCAGGGACAGCATCAACCCCACTATAATCCATTCAAGCAATCAATTGCCAACTACAGTCAATTGCCCAACGGGTATACATATGATCCCAGCAAGATAATGGGTTTCCAGAGCAAGGAGACGAACGAGTTCGCAATGAGCCTGCTGAAGAGTCAGGGAACAGGGGCCTCGGCTCCTCCGGCTGCCCCAGCGGGGTCGAAGGCGGTCCAAGAAGTTCTGCAAGTGGCCAGTCAGCCGTCTCCGCCGTCGCCTTTTGCCGGCATCAATCCTCAGCCAAGGGCAGTGACTCCTGGAGCGGGACCCCAGCAATTTGGAATGTTGCCCGGCGATGGGTGGATGTGGCAGAAGGGCGACTTGTGCATGGCCAAGTATTGGGATGATGGACGGGTAAGTTTCAAACAATTCCTCGACAATAAGAAGCACTAATTTGTGTCCTTCCTTTCCCCGATTCCGACAGTATTATGAGGCTGAGATAACGGGTGTTTCGGAGAAAACTTGTGTGGTCTTCTTTATGGGATATGGAAATCACGAGGAGGTCCTCAAGGGCGACATTCTGCCCATCACGGATGCCCAGAATAGGCCCCTGAGCAATGTGCATTGTGCACCACCGCCGCCGCTGCAAGACCACCACCAGTCCCAGCATCAGTTGCAGCAGCAGCAGCAGCACTCGCGTTACCGCAGCGATCGCCAGGCCCAGCAACAGCAGGTATATGTGCCGCCGCACAAAAGAGAACATTGAGACAGTCTTTGTACACACTTATAAATCCATTGAAATTTTTCGAATAAACAACTTTACAGTGTATTCAAACTATTTACGTCGCTCATATCCAGATTCTACTGTGCACAGATTCGATAGCAGAACATCGATAGTCATACGATGTTCATATCGATTGGTATCGATACTTTGGAAGAAAACATAGCGGGTCAGACGGTATATTTTCTCGAAAAATCCGCGGTCACACTGACTGATACTTACACGTGCTTCTTCGGACGGCTTCAATAAAATTTAAATAATAAAAAAAATATGATGAAGGTGAAAGTAGAACGCTCTAGTGATGCCAATGAGTCCGTTCAGATCAGCGGAGACGTGACCATTAAGGAGGAGGAGACCTACGACGACAAACTGCTGTTTGTGAATGCGATAGCCAAGCCTATGGCGGGCAAGAAGCTCGCCAAGAAGTGCTATAAACTGGTGAAAAAGGCCATGAAACACAAGACCTATCTGCGGAATGGCCTCAAGGATGTGCAGACGCGCTTGCGCAAGGGAGAGACTGGGTTAGTATGTGTAATCGTCGTGAGAAGAGCCAATTTTCATCTTCTTCCTCCGCCACAGCATTTGCATCTTTGCTGGCGATGTGACACCTGTGGACATCATGTGCCATCTGCCTGCCGTCTGCGAGGAGAAGGGCATTCCCTATGCCTACACCCCGAGTCGTGCAGACCTGGGTGCCGCCATGGGCGTCAAGCGGGGGACAGTTGCGCTGCTCATCCGGCAGAACGATGACTACAAGGATCTGTACGACGAGGTCAAAGAGGAGTTGTCCGGCTTGAATGTCCCCATCTAACCCCTTAGGATTAAGTCTTGTATCCCCTTTAGAATCTAGTTAAGCTTAACGAACTAATAAAGGTCAGACTCCTTCTCTTTGGAAGGTTTTGCTGCCGCCAAAAGAATCCACAAACACTCGGGGTTTTTTTTGCTGTCCCTTGGGGATCTTTTTTTGTTTTTTTTTTTATAATTTTGTTCAAAAGTATTTTCAGCGTAGCTGATTTCATATAAATTTGTGTACATATACAATACAGTTGAAAAGGGGAGGGGATATTTTGTTAATAACGTCTCGTTTTATCTTTTTATGCAAGAGGGCTTCGTGCTAAATGAGTTTTTGGGTGTTTAGTTAGTATGTGTCTAAATTTACATCAAATTTAACACTAAATGTCGTGTATATTCGTATTCGTATTTGTATTTGTATGCAATGTATTTATTACCTAGAATTTCCGTTTAACAAATGACGCGAGTGAGGGGTTGGTTGGATTATTAAAAGTACAATGATTAAATAATTACAGTATATATATTTTATATATGCTTGTATATATATGTATGTATGTTTGCTATCAGAGTCGCTAGCCAAATACTACGATAAATCAAGGATCGATTAAATACGTTGATCAAATTTTATTTAGTTACAATCATAAAAACGGGACTAAACGATGAATGGGAAGGGGGTGAGGGTGGGTGTTGAGAGAGATGGCCGCGCTGACAGCTGAATACAATTGTCCGAATGCACGGACAAGTCGCGTGCATTCAACGGTCGGTTTTAACAGTAATTAAAACACACACATCAGAAATTTTGGATTGCCCAAGGAACAAATAACTCGTGCACAACTTTATGTAACATGTATGTATGTATGTATGTATGTGTGCACACGTTTCGTACACCTTTTAGCCACTTAATATATAAATATATATGCATGTATGTATGTATATATAGTTATATATGTATGTATGTATTCTGAAGTACAATTAAGGATAATAAGTTGTGTATTGAGTGCATGACAAAATTTAATTTTTTTTTAATGTTTTTTTTGTAGTTGTTAATAATGTTTTTGAATAGTCAACTGCTGTACAAAATTGAAAGCTTTACATTTTATAACCGAGAACTAAGGGTATAATATAGAGAAAGACCAAAGGTTTACGTAGCATATGGACTACGGACTAAAAATAGAAAAAAATGTACAATACAAATTTTCTTGGATTACCTTAGATCTAAAGCTAACTACTCGTATGCATCCTGCATTTAATTGTTATTACATAATTAATCTTTTTTTTGTATTTTTTTCGTGTATTTCTTTGTTTGTTTTTTTTTTGTAAGGTTTTTTTTTATACTTTTTTGTTTCAAGAGTCTAATCGATAAGGTTTTTTGTGTTGATGTTTTTTTTTATGTGTTTTTTAAGGCTGCTCAGAGCAACCCCTTGGATGCTGTGAGCCGATAAATGGCGCCTGTGGCGTACTTGGGGGGACTATCGGGATCTGTATCTGGATCCGGGTGAGGACCGGACCGGACCGGAATCAATACGAACAACTTCCTGCTGCGGCATTTGGGACGAGCTTTAGTAACCACTAAACATTAACTAAATAGGTTTGTATATTATTAATTAATCATAATAATTCACACGTTCAACTTAAGGCTATCGTAATAAAAATAATTTGCAATTAAAATGAAAGCAAAATAAGGATAGGGGGCAACTATAATTAACAAGCAGTTCTTTTTTCTATTTTTTCTCATGTTTTTCTTCTCTTCATTTTCCGTTTCCGTTTTTGTTTTTTCCTTTTCCCTTTTTTTGGGGCATTTTTTACGTTTTTTTTTCTCAGCTAAGAATTTTGCAATTTTTTTCTTTGTTAATTTTCTTTTTTTTTTAGTTTTTGTTTTTTTTTTGTTTTGTTTTGTTTGTTTTAGTTTAAGACCCTTTGATGCCACAAAAGGAGGTCGTCCGTTCCCCGTGCCTCACTGAAAATAGTTGTAGAATCCGGTTGTGGCCTGGCCGAGTTCCCGTATGGCCGCGAAGGGATCCTTCTCCAGCATCTCGCTGCCCGCCTGCGAGGATTTGGCCGTTGGTGCGGGCTGCGACTGCGTCTGCCCCACTCCCACTCCACCAGCCGCCGATGCCGCCTGTGGGCCCTGACTCAACACCGCCGCATAGGTGGTGGCTGCGGAAGAGGCCTGCTGATGATGATGGTTGTTGGCCTCAGAGTGTGGCACTGCCAGCGGCATGGACTGGAACACGTCCATTTCGTGGCCGCCCTTCAGCGCACTAAAATTGTTGTACAGCAGGCCCTGCACATGGTCGGATGTCTTCACGGAGTGATCCGCCACAGCGTTGTTGGCGTGGAACAGGGCCTCTATCAGATTGGTGCCCGTGTCCAGTCCGGGCATGTTGTTGTAGCTGTTCCCAATGCCAATGCCAATTCCATTCCCGGTCAGGGCCTGACGTCGGTAAAGCGGAACTGAGTTTCCATTGCTCAACAGTCCATTGGTGCCGGGAACTCCAGCAACTCCAGAGTTGTTCGATCCCACGTTATTATGCATGTTCAGGTTGTTGTAAGGCTTGTCATTTAGCAGAGGATTGCCAGCTGGTGGATTACAGAAGGTGAATGATTAGAAACGGAATCAATAAGGGATCAATTGGGACATATAATATAACAGTCCTAAATATAATAGGTACATCCACACCCCTATCAATCATCAGAAGTGAGTTTTTCAGTTGAGTCTCCAGTCTCTTTATACTTCTTACAACTGATGCCATCTGTGACCTGTGCTTCCAGCCAGATGCTACCACCAATGACCAATGTGCAATGTGAAATGTGGCAGCATCTTCTTTAAACCTTTTTGCAGAATTCAACAATTTCCCATATTAATTGCGCAAATAAAATAAACCTATTATTAGTATCAAATTATAAATCGAACATAACATTCATGCTTTGCAAGGCTACAATAGTAATGAGGGGGATACTGCTTCCAACCGACATCTGCCGTTCCCTTACCCATAAAGTTCGAATTGCCGCCGCCCAAGCTGTTGGCGCTGCTATTGGGCGGAGGCTGATGTGGTACAGGTCCAGGTCCAGGTCCTGGTCCTGGGCCTCCTGCCTGTGGCGGCCCACCAGCTAGATGACCGGCATACAGACCCGGTCCTGGACCAGGTGGTATCTTCGCCTGCTGCTGCTGCTGTTGTTGCTGTTGTTGTTGTTGTTGTTGTTGCTGTTGTTGTTGCTGCTGCTGTTGCTGCTGCATCATGGCAAAGAGGCGACTCTGCTGCTGCTGTTGCTGCTGCAGTTCGAGGGCGTTCAATCCATTGGTTAGAGAAGGTCCCGCACCAGGAGCACTTGCCGTGCCAGCCACCATGCCCAGCACATCTCTCAGTATGGGCTGGGCAATATCGTTGGCTCCGTTCATGATCGAGTTGAAGACCAAATCGATTTGGTGATTGAAGTTCTCCAGCGGCGGCGCCTCCACCTGCTGCGGCTGGTTCTGGGGATACATCATGGGATACTGCGGCCGCTGAGCCTGCCCTCCTCCTCCGCCGCCGCCCATTACATGGGGATTGTTCAGCATCGGATTGTTCACCATCTGCTGATGGGGGGGCTGCTTGAGTTGCTGCTGATGTCCCTGCTGCTGCTGTTGCTGCTGCTGAAGGGTAGCCATCACCTGGCGCAGCATGTCCGCGAACTTGTTGGCCCCCTCCTGGCCGACAGTCTCGAGGAGCTTGAGGTACCACTTGTACTGCTCCTCCTTGGGGTTGAACGCCATCTCATAGATGCTCACATTCGGCGGCAGCAGGTCGTGCGAGGGAGGACCAAAGCGCAACGAACTAGGGGATGGCTGCTTCGCTCCATACATGAAGGGCGGCTGCTGCTGCTGTTGCTGCTGCTGGGGCGGAACCAACGGCTTGTCGTAGCTGTTGTATCCGCTGCCATTGTGCCTCAGATAGGGCAGCGGTGGTCCGTTCTCCATGGGACTCATGGGTCCATTGGGCACGCTGCTGCCCCTTTGCATGCCCTGCATTGGTGGCGGGGCCTGCTGCTGTTGTGGTGGCCCGTACAGGTGGTGGGGCGGTGGCGGCGGAGGCTGCGCCTGGCCATGGTTGTAGAGTGTTTTCTTGGCCAAGTAGCCCAGTTCGCTGGGATTGCGCAGCAGCTGGGCAGCGGGCGGAGCATTGGGTGGCGGTGGTGGAACGCTTCCGCCCCGCAACGGCAGCGAGGGATTCGCATTGGGTGGCGGCGGTTGCAGGGATCCCGGACCTGGTCCTCGTCCTGGAGCAGCTACCGGTGGCTGCTGCTGTTGCTGCTTGTTGGGGGGCAGCACGCTCCAAGGATTCGTCTGCGGCGGTGGTCCCCAGAGACTGGCATTCGGATTCTGCGGCTGCCCTTGTCCTGGCCCCTGCCCGCCCGGCTGCTGCTGCGGTGCAATGGGCGGACGCCAGTGCTGCATGGCTGCGTACTGGCCATAGGGCGGCGGTGGAGGTCCACCTGGCGGAGGAGGTCCTGGCGGTCCAGGACCGGGCATTCCCCGCAGATGCGGCGGCTGTGGCGCACCATTGGGTGGCGGTCCTCGCATGCCCATGTGTCCTCCTCCACCGTAGTGAGGAGGTGGACCCGGACCCGGGCCGTTTGCAGATTTGCCCCCGCCCACGGCGGCTGCCGCTGCCATCATGGCCGCCATGTGGGTGGAGTACATGTGGGAGAGCGAGAGCTGCTGGTTGGCAGCCATAGCAGCGGCCATCTGGTTCATCTGATGAGCAGCCGCCGGCCCAGGTCCCAGCATCCCGGCTGCGCTTGCATAGTGGGCCGGTGGACCCGGAGGGCCATGACTTCCGTGTCCGTGCTGGGGTCCGTTCAGATAGAGGGCCGCCTGGTCCCGCAAATAGGCCTCCGGCTGCAGTGCTCGCGGAACGAACTCTGGGGCCAAGGGATTGAGCACGTACCCGCGCTTCAGCTCCACTCCGTCCAGCTGGGAGCGCAGGTTAGACCAGGTCAGGCCAAACAGGGACTTGTTCTCGTCGCAAATCTCGATGAAGCGCTCCCAGACCTTGCGGCAGCGTCCGATCGAACAGAGGGCCACGGGATCGCCCACGACCGCTACGAGTGACTGGGCGCGGGTGATGGCCGTGTTCAGGAGCTTCGAGTTGCTCAGGAAGCCGTAGTCCGTGTCGGCGTCTCCGATACTGGCGGCGGAGGAAACCCCAGGGCCGCTGCCCTGCGGCATGCAGGTGCGCCTAGTCCGCACCGTAGACAGGAAGACGGCACGGAACTGTTTGCCCTGGACATTGAGCACGCGCTCCACGGAGATGCCGCCCATGCGGCGCTTGCGCAGCTCGGAGCGGATGCGAAACACCTGGTCCGCGTAGGGGGTCATGATGCCGATGCTGGTGTCGTTGAGCTTGCCCCAGGCGCTGGGCCAGCGCTTCCGCAGCTCCGAGACCCGCTCGACGACCTCGTAGACCTCTGCATTGTTGTAGAAGGCGGTCGAGTTCTTGTCCTGCACATCCTCGCCCCGCGTGGTGAAGAAGGTGAGCGGGTAGAAGCGCTCGTGGCGCGGCTGCTTGCCGGAGGCCACCAGCTTCTGCTCGTAGAATAGCTCCGAGGTGAAGCGGATGATGGCCTCGTGGGCGCGATAGTTCTCGCACAGCAGGATCTTGCAGGGGAAATTGGAGGGGTAGTGGTCGTAAAGCCGCTCCAGCAGCGAGATGTGCAGCTTGCGCTCCTTGGCAAAGGCCGAAAACAGCTCGGGACTCATCTGCATGTGGTCTCCGGCCAGGACGATGCGCGTGGAGTCGTTGGCCAGGGCCAACGGCATAATGGCCTCGCACTCCATGGCCTGGGCCGCCTCGTCGAGGAAGATGTGCGTGAACAGTCCCTTGGGCAGCCCCAGCGTGGCCAGCTCCATGCTGATGCTGAGCGTCACGACCACAATGCGATGCCGCATGATGTCCTCCAGCGTGGGTCGCTTAAAGTTGCCCACGCCGTCCGTGATGCAGTACTTCTGGACAACGCCGTTAACTGTCGCCGACCAGCGCTTGTGGTAGTAGACGCGCAGCGGTGTGGCCTCCTCCAGGCCCTCCTCGATCCACGGGTGCAGGTACTCCTTGATGTACAGATCCGCCGCCGAGTTGGAGTGCGTGCAGATGAGTATCTTGGCTTCCGGCTGGGCCAGCAGCTGCTTGATGGCCTGCGCCAGCGTGTAGGTCTTGCCCGTGCCAAAGGGTCCGATCAGGAGGATCGGCGGCAGCTTGATGCTCAGCGCCGTGGTGATGGCATTGACCGCCTCCCGCTGCTTGGCATTCAGCTTGGGCTCGCAGGCATCGGCCCACTGCTTCTTGGGCGTCCAGGGGATGTTCGGTTCCAGCTCCGTGGCGGGGAAGATCAGGCGGAAGTCGGTGATCTTGTCGACGGCGTTGTGCCACTCGCAGTAGGGCATGCGGTTTAGCTGGAACTGGATGTCCACGTCCAGCTCGGTGTCCGCCTGCAGGGCCATGGCCTCCACGCACTTGGCCGACAGCTTCAAGTAGATCACGTTCTTGCCCTTGTCCTCGATGAGGGCCTCGTATACAGGTCGCGTCTGCTCAGAGACGGAGGCGGAGCCGGAGGGAACGGAAAGCTTTCTGCCGGGCTCCTCCGGCGCCGAGATGTACACGCTGCAGCAGTTGGAGAGGATGAGGCGTCCCGGCGAGGTGTCCTCCGATATGTCCTTGCCCAGCCGCATTAAGGCAAAGAGTTCCCCGGCCAGCGAGTACTTGGCCGTGCTGGTGGCCATCCCCGCGGGCGTCAGAATGTAGTTGGAGGCCACTGTGAGCTTCGTGCGGACATTGTAGCGAGCTATCTGCTCGTAGCGGGCAATCTCCTCCACGTATAGCAGCTCGTGGATGCGGGACCGATAGTTGTTCTGCGTCAGACGCTTCTCCACGATCGTGGACTGGGTGAGGGTGAAGGTGGCCGCCAGGGGACAGGGATAGCGCTCGAGCAGCTCCCGCTCGTGGTCCAGATCGCTGAGATACGCCTCGGTTTTCAGGTGGGTGCCGATGGTGGTCTCGAAGCGAGTCAGCTGGGTGTTGGCCACGTCCCAGCGGGTGGCCGAGCTGTTGATTATATCACGCTTGATCTCCTCGATCTTCTCCGCATCGTTCACGGGCAGAACGTCCACGCACAGGTGCCGCACCAGCAGCGGCTCCTGGCCCACATCGAAGCAGATGGCCTGCCGAAACGTTCCATAGATTTCCGTATGAAATTCTACGGTTACTTCGTGGATCAGCGTCGCACGCTGCGGCGACTCCTCCTCTCCTCCTTCCGCTGGCTGTGCTTCGGTGGCGGCGACTGTTGCAGCTGCCACCCACTCTTGGTCAGACTTGAGCTCCACTTGGGCCGAGGCTGAGGCCGAGGCCGTGCCCAGCTTGATCGACTTGAGCGCAAAGTGATTGCGATGGGCATCCTGCAGCAGGGCCACCGCCTTGAGCGGCTGCTTCGTCTCCAGCTGGAAAAGCCACTCGCGCTTGGAGGTCTTCGAGCTGATGCTGGTCACCAGCTGCTGCTCGCACTTGGCCTCTATCTCCGGCACTCGCTCGCACATAATCCGCTCCGGCGCCGTCGCCTGGATCCATCGCTCCAGCACCTGTTCCGTGTACGACTTGCCGTAGAGCTCCTTCTCGCAGGCCTTCTGCACCCGCATGCGCCGGTACTCAAACCGCTCCTTCCACTCGTTCAACTCGTCCTGGCCGTGCGCCTCCACACACTGGGCCCCATAGTGGCAGGTGTGCGCATCGCTGAACGCCTCGCACAAACTGTACGTGTCCAGGGTGTAGCCGCGGGGTGGCGGTCGCCATTTCCAGTCTCGTCCTATCCGGGGAATCAAGTGCGAAATGAGTGATTGCAAATTCATGTTTGTATAGAAAATATATACGTATATACAGAGATATATGTAAAGTAGTCACAGGTCAGGCCAGACAGCCTGATCTCTCTGAGAGATTGAAAGCAACCTGAAATTCCTGTGCCTCCCTTCTCAGAGAAGTCTACTTTCTACCTAACAACGAAGACGGATCGGAAAAGGGTCTGTCTGTCCGCCTCACATATCAAAATCATCATGGAGTAAATCTCAATTTACGATCAAGGAAAGTAGTTCCAAATGCTGATTTGCCTGTGGAGTACTTTTGGATTACTTTCGCCTACGATTAAACATCTGGCGAATGGTCGGAAAAATGGTAGATCCTACAAAACTCATCCAATACTGCCCCACAATATGCGGAGCATGGATGAGATACACGCAAATCGGTTCGTCTTTTGGCGATGGTATATCAACCGAACCGCGTGGAATAATCTCTATGCTGTGCTACACGATGCCTTTTCTTACAGGAGCCTACGCGAATACCCATGACAATTTGGTTGCAATTATTTTTATTATTTTCTGTTATTAGCTGTCTAAAACTATCATCAATGTATGGGCCCACCAAAACCTGTCAAAACTTGAGTTAATTTTGAATTGTTTGTGAATTTTCCTTGGCCCTTAATTGGTTATGTGATTAATAGAAGGACAATTCGGCGTGTTTTAAACCCCAAAATAAAACAAGTTTAATGTTTGCCATTCTGAAATGGCATCGAAACCGTAGACCGTTGAGTTTCCTGCCTACAGCCGTAACCTACGGTTAGGTTTAGGCGGTCGCTGGTGGGAGAAGAAATTTCTCTCAGCTCACTTGGGCTTTTAAAGGAACATTGTGCTACCTGGTGCCTATGGCGTGGCGGTCCTCTTGTTACAGTAACCCTGGTCTGATTTCGCACAGGTCCCAAATGTCTGTGAGGAAGTCTACGGTATCCAAGGACCGGACTGTGGCAGATTAAATGGGGAAACGATTTTTTCCCCTCCATGTCCCGACAGCATCTCAAGAACACGATGCAAGGGATTGTCACTATGGAGGCGTGTGCTGCCTGTGTCCCGTGATGGCTTGGGTAAATGCCGAGCATTGCGGTCTGCTGAGTCATCTCTAAGGATGCCTGCAGCACTGGTTCATTGGCTTGGATAAGGGATCCCTTATTTCCTTTCGCTTTGTTTTGATCATCAAATTTGAGTGTCTTAAGCTCGAATGCAGGATGACCCTTAGGAGCCCTGAATTTCTTATTATATTCCCCATTGAACACTCACCCTCATCGCTCATGATCACCTTTTGATGGGCTTCGGTCTGGCAGTGCTGTCGCAGCTCGTTCCTCGTCAGGAAATTGATGGCGCAGTAGCTGCATGTGGTCGAGGGAGCCGCCTGATCCCCGCCGGATGCCGCATCAAGGCTGGGGCCATCTGCCAACGCCGGCTGGTGCTTGCCAGCCGTGAGCTTCATGGCCGCCAACAGGTCGTTGGTCTTGTGCAGATTTGTGTTGGAACTAGACATGGTGCTGCTGCTGCCAGTGCTGCTGCTGCTACTGCTGCTTGCATAGCTGCCACTACCGCTGCCAGTTCCATTTTGCTGCTGCTGCTGTTGTTGCTGCTGCTGTTCGCGCTTTTTGAGACCCTTGTTGCTGAGCAGCTTGCTGTACTTGTCCAGGGGCAGATTGTTGGTAGCCCAGTGGTCCAGCTTGGTGTCCAGTATGGCCATTTCGTCCTCCAGTCGGGCATGCGGTATCTTCTGCGCCTGGGCCTTGTGCTGCCCATTCATAATCATCTGGATGATGGACTTGTAGCGCTCCAGGGTCTTGGATATGTCCGAGAATATTTGCTGGCCGCTCAGCTCGTTGATCCACTTGCTCAAAAAAATCTCGGCATCCTACAGGAAAACCAAAGGCATCAGAAATAATATTTACGTGAGGGCTGGCCGATTCCACACTGAACTTACCCCATACTTGTGCATCTTGAACAGAGCATGGACGAGCCAGCGACGGGCGCGCGAGACACTGGCCAAGCACTCTGTCTGCTCGGCCAGCAGCGTGAGTACCTTGTAGGCATCGGCCAGGCAGCCCTCGTACTTGCCCAGCTCCAGCAGACACTCGCAGCGGCCCAGCAGGCAGGCAATCTGCTGATCCTTCTGCGCCCGCGTCGCCTGTGCCGATCCAGGCGCTGCTGAAATCAGCTGATCGTAGAGTGCCACAGCCCGGGCCCAGTTCCGTCTTCGGACCATGTCGTGGGCCAGCATCTCCTTTTCAGCAGCCATGGATCGTGGGAATCGTTTACTCGTTGGGGCTTCGACTTCGGCTCTTCGGCTGGTTACTCATTCATGTGTCGGGTGCTGCGTCTGATCCTTGTCTTGATTGCTCGTCTAATTCCTATATTGATTCTGGATGGTGAACTTTAGGGACTGCTTCGGTCTGGACCTCTCCCATGACTATACTTACATAAGTTAATTGTTTACGAGTAGTTAATAGTAAGAAATCGATTCTTGGCTTTTACATTAGGGTTTTATATACTTATTGGGCATTATGTTTACTGCAAAGCAAAGGAAACAGAGATAATAATAATAAACAAATTGTTTATAAGAGACGCGGCAGAAGCCTCAGATCAAATCTGGTATCCCACAGAGGTGGCTGCACCTGAACCCATCGTATATTAACCAATTCAATGCATTCTTATTCCCATTTGTCATTTGCAAAATTTTCATTCGAATTTTTCTGTTACGCAAAATTTCATAAGAGCTATTTTCCCTCTCACCGGTGGCCGGGCACACGCATTGCAGAGCACTCAAACAACATTTGCAAGCATAATTGAAAGTAATTTAAATTTTCTTCTTTCGTGCTTTTTTGGAGGTGCGTTGCTCCTTTCATGCGTGTGTGTACTTTGCTGCTGCTCAACTTTCGGCTTTTATTTATATGTGGCCTGGCATTCGGCGATCGTTATTTGCAGTAAATGGCGGCTGTCTGCTGGCGAATGCTTATTATTGAGTCCGCAAATACAAGATATTCGATTGTAGTATTATTTAATGTTGTTTTTGCTGCTTTATATACACATGTACGTGTGTGTGCATGCATGCACGAGTGTGTGTACATGTTTTTTCTCCGTTGGTTTCGCCTTCTCAGCTGCCTGCAGGTGTTTTCGCAGCATTTTGGTTCTTAAGCTTAGAGCCCCCAACTAGTTTATAAACTAGAGTGGAACTGTAGTTTATTTAGTCGTAATTTTCGCAAAGGCGGCGAATTTAGTCGATTTATTTTACCATTTTAGCTTTTACGTGCTGGGCACAGCAGACAGTCGTTAGTGTTGCCAAACGCCGAAAGTACCACATGAAAGTATCGCATGTGGCAACACAATTTGGTTTGATAATTAATTAATAGCAAATGTTGTCATGCAGAAGAGCAATTTTATTGGATACGTTCAAAAATCATTAGAATGACACTTGCTTAAAATTTGTTGCAAAATTTCACAAACTAATTGTGATAGCTGGGCTCATTTTACAACACTGCAGGCGAATGGGTTTTTGACAAAACAACACTATACTGCCATATAAAATAGCAACTTATATATGCACAATACATGCAAATGCACGGCAATGCAATGCACTTTTATCTGATTAGTCGATTATTTATATTGCACATTAATCAGTACGCGTGGCCAGCACAAAGCCAAGCCATGTAAAAACCCAAGGCAAATAACGCAAGTCAGAAGCCAGCTGTCACTTTGCAACCGAACAAAATTTTGTATCCGTTTTCCCGATGTTTTTCCAGACAATTTCGTTACCTTTGCACTTATTCTTAATGTTTATTCACTACTTGCTAATTATATTTTAATTTACATGGTTAAGCACAAAACTATGAGAGAAAATGCACATCACATCACGTCGAAAATTGTTAAAAATAGTTATGTATGTATGTGAGGCTGTGCTGCCATTTTAGCTTATTTAAGGCTATATTTTGCACAATAAACCGTATTATAAATAAAACAGATGCCATTGTAAAAACTGAAAAATATTTAGAGCATAAATGTATTTATTTTTTTTTTTTTTCGGGATTTTATTTATCGATCTTCCCTATTAGACTTACGACAGTATACAACTTAGCCTAATAATTTATTTAATTATTTACACTTAATTACTTAAGTCGCCAGCTAAGATTAGATTATTAAATTGGAAGCATTAAGCCTATAAAAAACATACGGCTTGGTTAGATTTAGCCAAAGTGTAAAAATTTGTATATAATGGCTGTGCCGGCCAGAAGAAATGTTTCCAGATCGATCTATTTAAAATTGATTTCACAAGAAAAATATACAATTATGCCAGAAAAAATGCTGAAACAAAATAGCCAATACCAAAAATATGTTAAATAGTTTTTTTTCATTTTAGCTTATATATGCTCGGGCTTAGCCGAATCTAGCTGAATCTCTAACATTCTGGCAGCACTGATGGAAAATTCGCAAAACCCTGCAGCTGTGTTGGCTAGAGCAAATAGATAAGTGCTACCCAGCCCGTGAAATGCTTAACCCTTGAGAGGGCAATACAAGAAATATAATATTGTTGCGAGGCTATTCTTATAGCCTATTCCCACAGGCCACCAGTTTTTCTGTGCGGTATTTTTTCGATAATTGTCAAATGCAACCATAAATATTGGACATTCACAACAAAAAATCGGAATTCACTAAGAAAATGTTTGCTCTGCAAAACTCATGCAGTATTGCACTCGCTTTTGGCTGACAGCCCTTCGACTATTCTATACTCAGAAAAACAGCCCAAAATAAAATGCTATGGATATAGAGAACTTTCCTTAAAAAACGCCTCGTTCTTTTCGGGTACATCTTCTCAGAAAACAGAGAATATACATTTGTATTTAAAACATTGATTGGATTATGTAGAAGCAGTCACAAATGACCACGCTTCAGTGTTTTCAAAACAGATATCCATTCCAATAAATTCTCGTCAATGTTAGCCTCATTATCATCATACATGATTAAATTGTGCAAGAATATATTTTGGTGCTGAATCACATTCACATTCAACCATTGCAATATTATTAATATTCACTTAAATTATAAAAGAAAAAATTTTTCCGCCGCACCAAATAGTGAGCATGGTGTGTGAGTGATGATCAGTGGCAGTGTGAATCGGTGTTTCACATATTTCAAAAATTCCCACCATTCCCCCGGTATGGGCTCAGTGTGCAGAGGGCATTACATTGAAAATTTATTAAAAGTACACATTTATAATGCAAGTAAAATTGACATAGAACACAAAAATAAAAAATTGACTAAATGTACGCCACGTAAAAAGTTAACGAAAGAATTTCTTGGCAAATTTGATCACCTCCATAGCTATTTTCAATTCCCGGGCACCCCTCACACCGAGAGCCTCAAGATCTTCAAGTGTCATTTGGATGAGAACTTCTATGTCGATTTCCTGGCGCGTGAACATCTCCGTGAGGTGCTCGTTGCCAGTGCGGTTCAGAAGCGAGCGCACCCGCGGACTAAGCGTAGGATGCTCCACCGGGGAGCCGTGCTTGAACCGCGAATAGGTGCTGTCACTCAAGCCGGGTTCTCGCTTAACCTTGTGAGTTGAGTTATTCGATATCGAGTTACTCCTGCTGGTACTGAAACTACGGGGTGTTCCTCCGTCCGCATAAGAGCTGCCGTTTGTTGTGCTCCTCATATTGGGCGAGAAAACAGATCGCGTGCGCAAAAATGACTGCGAAAAACGTGTTGGCCCACCACTCGAATGACTGGATGAATGTCCTTGTGGCACACTTAGGCGACTAGGCTTCAGCCTGCGATGGGTGCTCCGGCCCGTGGTGTCATCGCCGGTGGGCGTCTGCCCGTCAGTGGTCTCAAACTTGAAGACCTGTGTGGACAGCGGAGTCAATGGCGTCAGCGGGGAGCCGGGATCTGCGAAAGAGTATCAATAACAATTGGCTGGCTGGTTTACTGACCATTTTGGCAATTACCTCTCCAAGCGCGATTGTATCGTTCCATCTTGGAGCTACCTTAGATCTTTAAAAACAAAAACGAACACACAAATTGGAATTTGTACAATAAACGGAAGGCGGACTAACTGTAATTTACAGTTCGAACTTGAAGTTGAACTTTTGATTGCGCCGCAGGGATAAGGGTATGAGGTGTGAAGTATGACGTCACAAAATTCAGAGCTTTCAAGAAAAATACCCACCCACCACATAACTCACCGTGCGGGATGGTATACACGCACACATGGTATATTTAGTCCGTCGGGGCTAGGGTGAGGTCCTTACGAGGCCCTTAAAAAAAGTTTGGCTGTCTTAATACTGGGGCCATACCTTGCCATGACCCAGTCGAAAGAGAGCACTAAAAACGCTCTCCGGACTCATTTCTGTGTTTAAATTGTGAGCCCAAAAATACCCCAGAAATATACCGTAAATATACCGCACATATACTGACAAAATGCGTTTGATATTCCTCGATTTTGATATTCGGCTTAAGATTACTAGCTAGTTAGCCCTCTCAGTCCTGAACAAATAATGTTATCCGATAGATACATAAATTTTCTACAAGATTGGCAAGTTTTCAGAAGTCCTTTTTATTGCATTGTTTACATAAAAAGGTTCAAACAAAAACGGCCAAAGCATAAATGCTGACGTAAATGTTGACTAAATGTTACGTCAGTGTTGCTGGTCAACCAAGTTTCTTCTATGCGTATGTACTTTTGTATACCTTATTTCTTTTAATTGATGTTACATTTTTTGTTCCAAGCTCCATTGAAACATTAATAATGATTTGATCCTATATTGACATGTTTTTTACGTATTAATGCATATGTTTTGTGTTTTATAAATACATTTATGTATTTATGTTTTATGCAGGTTCTGATACCTATTATTGGTAATAGGAACCCTATTATGGTACCCGTGAGCTGCAAAATTTCGTTAATATCTTTAAAACAGAGACTGAGTAGTTTCTGCATTAATTGGAGCCTAAGATTACAAACATTACCTCTATTCGATAATATCCATTTCCCAAAGGTATGCAGATTGTGGCTCATTCCGTGCCAAAGATGCACAACAATGCTGCCTATTCATTTACCCATGTTTCTGAACAATGTCTTGATTTTATTGAACAATACCTTAAACGATGCCTAATTAATGCGTCTATCAAAAACTAAAAATGCATGCCAAGAATTATTTTTTTTTTTTACTTTTCCCGACTTTTTAAAGTCAAAATTTAGCTGCGTTTGTCAGCTTTTCAAAGTTCTTTGCTACCAGATATAATATTATTAAGTTATGTGAAAAATAGAAGCACTACCTCTGAAAAAAACCATGAAAAAAGACCACGTTTTAAAAATTATTTAAACAAAAATTTAACCATCAAAATAAACCATAATTCGCTAAAAAATTGTAAAGCCCAAAATTTATAAGAAAAAGTCATTTTGGGCCACAGCTTTAATGTCGTGTTCACTAGTGTAATCAGCACCAACCAATGAAAAATAGTTGAAATTTTGGTACAGTTTCAGTATTTATTGGTAAAAGGGAATTACTTTTCATTTTAAGCCAATTAATTAAGGAGACAATCCGTCGGAAAATGTCGCGTGCGTCAAAAATTAGCCTTAGATAGGATACCTTTTAGCCTGGGGAATGTCAAGAGCTACAAGCTGGAGAGATTCGGAGAATTTCCTCCCTCCGCTACATTATTTTTTTTACTATTATTTTAAGCTACTACTTGCTTAAATTTTACATGTATTTGATAAACGATAGATTGGTTAAAAAATGAACCAAACGAAGCACATTCTAGCGTTCCTATTTTTAGAAAACTTTATTTTTGTGATCAGAGAAAGTTAGGTATTAAAGTGAGATCTTGTTAAATTTGAGAATCGTACATTTATATTTATCTTGGGAGTCCGCCAGATTCATTTGGCCATATAAATCCTCCACTTAGCCAGCCGGACCTATCATCAATAATAAATATTTTCTTCTTGTACCCAAAAAATACTTTTCGATATAAAATCCGTTACAAAAGTAACGGTTTACCTTACGCGTTTTCAACTTTCAGCCAATTAAATCGTTCGAAATTTTCTGCAAACATTTGGGGTGGTTTTCTGGGCAAGTCCAAAAAAATGTTCGCGCGACCATGAAACAAGAAAATAGTGCCGAATATTTTGTTCCACAAGTCCGCTAAGTATCAAAAAAATATCCATTGATAATATTTTAAATCATATCATTAATATGGAATCTTCATTCCATCCGCAAATCATGTGGCTCACACCACGAAAAGGAGGGGAAAGTCACTACGAAATCGCTCTCTTCACCTTGGAAAAGAGAGAACATTTTGAAAAACCACCACGAACTGAGAGCGAAAACTGTCAGTATTTTTTGTGCGCTAAATGAGTTTGGCGGTCATTTTCAAAAGTAAATTAATATATGGAAAAACGAGAAGGAACGTGTGAGTCGCTTCTAAAGACGCGACTCTACTTATACCTGTACTCAGTCAGTATTTACATTTTTGAGCATATGATTTTTTAGAATTTTAAAATTAAAACAAAAAAAAATTTTACATTTTAAATTTTTTTGCTACATCTGTTATCTACATCTACAATGTATATTCTACATCTAACATGTAGATTGTACATGTACCATTTAGATTCTACATCTCATCCGCTAGGGGTTGTTCGCGTACTGAACGCCGCAGAGTGTGCGAGCGAGAAGGAAAATTAGTTGCGTTGTCGTCGGCAGGAGGGGGCAGGGGAAGCAACTGAAAATTTCTTCATTCTGGCTATAATTATGATCCGATCTGATTCAGATTCGGCAGTCTGGTAGATATGGGCATTCTCTACGATACTGCGGTTTTAGTTTTATCGTATCTTTAAAATTGTGCCTGCCACAGATTTTCGTCCCTTGTGGAGGCGGAAGGGGGAGGGGCGAAATTTTTAAATACACTTGTAGCAGTGGGATATCACATAAGTCTGGAAACCAAATTTGGTTGCCCTAGCTCTTATAGTCTCTGAGATCTAGGCGCTCATCGAGACGGACAAACGGACAGACGGACAGACAGACAGACAGACAGACATGGCTATATCGACTCGGCTATTGATGCTGATCAAGAATATAATACTTTATGGGGTCGGAAACGTTTCCTTCTCTGCGTTACACACATCCACTTTTACCACAAATCTAATATACCCCTTAACTCTTTTTTGAGTACGGGTATAATAAATATTTCACTTGATTTGTTTTGTCGAGTGTGACTGGAACCTCAGAAACGTCATTTTCAAAATATGCCGTTAATATGTATATACCGAGAAAAAAAGGAGGAAATAGCTTTCGGAGTTCTAGTCCAGATCATTGACTAGAGAAATGGACGCACGCACTGGAAGGATGATAAAAGACTGATGATAAGGTATGTGTATCATTACATTTCATCATTAAACAAATTTTAGAAATAAAGTCGAAGTTCAGAAATTAGAACACCTAAAAATTATAACCGGCCATTTTAATTTATAGAACCTGTGGGTCCAATTTCTGGAAGAATTTTTCTATTACCTGCTCAGTTTTTCTTTTTCGGTTGACTTAAAAAAAAGGGAGTCCCCGAGCTATTTGTGGTGTGTAAAATTCGGTCATATGCATGTGTGTTTTGATTTGCATGTAGAAATATTTGTGTCCGTTGATGACTTAAGGGAAAAATAAAAAAACTATAATTAAAATTGAAAAATAGCTAAAATGTGTTTCTATGAATTTTAATGTGTTAATTTAATTATATATTAATACAAAAGAATTGTTTTGTGTTTAAATGTTGCTTGCGTAACTACTTTTTAATGTTATTTTAAAATTTTCTGTGCAAAAAAAAATGTCCAGAACTTAGAACTATTCAGAAATTAGAACCATCCTAGGAACAAAGTGGTTCTAATTTCCGAACTTTGACTGTATAGCGATTGCCAGTCCTCAAAACCTTACACAGCACACAACCACTTGTAGATTTCAAATTTTGATTCCAAATAACACTAAAAAAAATCAAATTCTTTTCCACAAGGAACCAAACCGACTTTTTCTGATAGATTTGGAGTGCTTAGGTCCAATTTATAGCTGTATATAAGCTTTTTAGAATGCTTGATTACAACCATATGTAAGATAATTAGTTATGTGAAAAATATAAGCGCTACCTCTGAAAAAGCATACAAAGAAAAACTTATTATTTAAGTCTTTAAAAAAAATTATTCCATAGAAAAAAAACCATAGTTCATTAAAAATTAAAGCCAAAAATCTATCAGAAAAAGTCGGTTAGGTTCCTTGAGGAAAAATCGTGTCGAGTAGTGTAATTTAACCGCCACGGGAATTGAAATTAGGTTTTCAAAACATTATAAATTGGATTAGTCAGAATCAATAATCCAAGTTCAAGGCACCCGAGACGCCATTAATATTTAGCATTTAACATGTCTAAGTACCAAATGTTGCTTATACCCATATATCTTCACATAATATTATTTGGTTTCTAATTAAAGCGTGTCTGGCCAGTTTTTACAGCTGTTGTTGTTGTTGTGCCCCTGCACTGTGCTTTGAATTTTGCGTCGAAGTTTTTGTGAACAACAAATGAACCGATAAAAAGTAAACAATTCCAAAACAAATCTAAAACAAAAATGTGCAAATTAAATGATCAGAAATAATCAATTTAATTCATCAAAGTGATGATGAAAATGCACAATTTGTGTGGGCTTTATTCTCTTAATAGCCGTATCATGGTAAGTTTGCCGTGAAATCATGACAGCCGCCGAAGCAGCATACAAAAGCCCTCGCACTGCCACCTGTTAAGACTAGACACCTTTCGTTGTTGCTGTTGCTGTTTCTGTTTTATCCTAATGCTTTTATTTTGTTGCCATTCCGCTTTCGCTTTGCCATTCGCTATTCGGCAAGCTCCCTTTTCCTCTTTCTCACTCTCTGTGTTCCTGTCTCTGTCTTCTGTCCACATGTGATGCTTGTTTGTTGTTGCCGGCTTTTTACCGAAAACAGCTGAGACCCCCCTGCCACCCACCACCCCTCCCACAAACGACGGCATAGAGAACCAGCTGCTTTGTGTTTATATTTTTTTCACGTCTGCGCACCGTCAGCCAATCATCCGCACTCCTCTCCCCACGGCCCCAACACACCAGACACGAAGCCGCTGCCGAAGCCGAGGCCGAGTGTCGCCGCTGGAGAACCATATAAAACGGCCCCACATCGCTGCTTGGGGCTGAGTCGTCTAACGGAGTTTAACCCAAGCTGAGAGCGAGAAAAGTTCTGGTGCTAGTTACAGAAAGCACCATTTCAGACAACGAAAATACTGCCTGCCTCGAAAATTGTTGCCACAGTCACAGTGAAAAACAAAAACAAATAAAAATTTCGCACAGGTCCCAAGCAAGTGATCCGAAAAATAAAAATACAACCTGCGCTGGGTTGTGTTGTGGTGTGAGAGAATAATCGTATGGCATAAAAGCATCACGCAAGTGTTGCCTAGATTAAAAATAAGTAATAAATCCGACAGAAATTGCAATCAATAAGTAAAAAAAATCCCCCCTCAATTGTTAAACCATTTGGCCAGTCCAGTGTTCTTGAGACATGCAAAAGTGGCCAACAGAGTGCTAAAAACCCCCAACAACGGAACCGTAACTTGCGAAACGAAACAGTTTTTTCCAAGTGTTTGCTGCCGCTGCGCTGACTTCGTCGCTGCTGCGCTGCTCAACAAAAGAACTTTGGGTATGTTTGTATTTTCTTGGTGCTTTGCCTTTGCTCCGCTGTTTGTTTTGTGTTGTTTTGTTGTATTCCATGCAAATTAAATTAAGCAATTAAACGAAACACACAAAAAATTGTATTTGTTGTTTGCCCAAGCTCAATTCTTTATTTCTTTGCGATTGGATTACCTCATGCACGGGGGCTGAGACCGACCTCTCCGGAGTCTAGTGGAGGGGATTGCAAAAGTCGCTTTATTAATAATTTTTTGCGTTTCGTTTCTTGGTATTGGCAATTATTACAACATTTGCACAATCGGTCAGTTATTGGCGGAGTTGATGGTAGTACTGCACCAGTTTTTGAATCCATTGTAAGAGGAGTATGAATACCACTTTCGTATACCCTTTTAGAAGGAAGGAAAGAAGGTTATATTGGCTATACCCTAAGGAAGTTCCACCGCCCCGTCCCTTCCTTGGTGGAATTTTTTCAGTTGATAGAAAAATATACAAGGGTACTACACATGGATATACACATACATATACTGATAGACAGCCCGATCAGATGATTATTTATTGTTTCTATCAATGAGAGTGCTGTGGTGTATCGGGTATCCTATAGTCGGAATATCAACTCTATCGCTCGTACACATTCTTTTTGTTGATTTTACTTTTACTTTGTGCGCTGCGCTTGGAAATTCAAATAAAAACTCAAAAAACTTTTTTAATAATAACAAACGTAAAAGAGAAGTGTGCTGAAGAGGGGTGCGGACAGACTGCACTGGAATACTCGTATATTTAATTGAACAACAAAAAGAAAGCCAAACAATCATAGGCACCATTGCAAAGTGGTTTGTTGTTGCTGCTCCCCGCTCAAACGATATACAATGGACACAGACTACAACTTCCAGCTAGAACAAGCGCTATGAAACCCCTAAAAAAGAACTGAACCGAAATTAAATCAGCAACTTTTTTTTCGAAAGTCTTTGAAACCTATTTAACAAAGTAAAAGTTCATTTTAAAATTTTTAATCTATAACTATTTGAAAAATGCATTCAAAAGCGAAAAACGGACGAAAACTGTGCAAGGAAAATTTTTCGATAACACTCTCAAATATTTACATTAAACTTTCTTTTGTTCTCAGTGTTTCAAAAATCTTTTTCTGAAATTAAGATTAAAGTACACAATATTGTAAGTTGTTATATACAAACCAGAACAGACAGATATGATTTGATGTGATTTCGGATCCTAATCCTTTGAGTTCCTCTTCAGATCCCGAAAATTCATCAGAATCGGAATCATAAGAATTCATAGTTATTGAAAATAATTTATAATTTATACATATGTACGTATGGGCATTTAGATGATGTCGCACGGGACAGTCGTAAGCATTTAAAGAGGAAAAAGTCAACATAAACCGGATTTTTATTTTGACAATAGACTTAACTTAACGAACAAAAAACAGAAGTGATTTTCGCAGCCAATAATTTAAATGCCGATTCCGAAATCTGAGGCAATATTTTAATGCAACTTATTTTGGAATGTTGTGCATTCTTTTTTTTTTACACACGAGACAAACATTTCTTGTGTTAATAAAAGTTCAAAAAAATACCAATAGCCTAGAAGAACTTTTATCATAAATCTTCTTTCTTATAGCAGATAATAATAAAGGAAAACATGCTTAAAAAATATCGATCAAGATAAAATTTTATCGGGACATAGTAATGTTAATACATAGTGATTTTATTATTATTATTGACTTTTAATTTTTTGGTCTCGGCTTACCTTTCGGTGGAAATCGGTTCGTAAGATGATTTTCATTGTCTTTTGTTTATTTTACAGCACATAAATTGACTATGAAAATATTTGAAGTGTATTATTTTCTGCTGGCTGTGCATATTTTTATACTCGTACTCAAAAAGAGATAAAGGGTATATTAGATTTTTGATAAAATTGGATGTGTGTAACGCAGACTTCTCTCGGAATCGTTTCCGACACCATATAGTATATATATTCTTGATCAGAGTCGATAGCCGATTCGATATATCCATGTCTGTCTGTCCGTCCGTCCGTCCGTCTGTCCGACCGTCTTGATGAGCGCCTAGTTCTCAGAGACTATAAGAGCTAGAGAAGCCAAATTTTGTTTCCAGACTGATGTGATATCACACTGCTTTTATTTCAAAAGTTCGCCCCACAAAGGACAAAAATCTGTGGCAGCCACAATTTTAAAGATACAATAAAACTAAACACGCAGTATCGTAGAGAATCAGATCAGATCATTATTATAGCCAGAATAAAGAAATTAATTTTCAGTTGCTTCCACCACCTCCTTCGGCTCTGCTGACGCTAATTATTCTTTCTCGGCCTCGCCTTTGCTGAGATGTAGAATCTACATTGTGTATGTATAATCTACATTTCAGATGTGTAATCGACATTGTAGATGTAAATGAAGATAACAAATGTAGCAAAAAAATGTAATATGTAAAATATTTTAAAATTCTACATAAATAATTAGCTCACATATTTATATACTGAAAGAGTACGGGTATAAAGGTAGAGCCGCGTCCACAGAAGCGACTTACACGTTCCTTCTCGTTGTTTTTGTTTTTAAGGAGTACAGTTTTCTGAATTACACATACATATACCCAAATTTTAACTAACTTGGCCAAAAGCAAATTTTTTTAAATCGATGCACGAGTGTCAAGCGTTACACGATTTAAAAAATGTTGTTTGCCCTCGCCTTAGAATCCCTTAAAACAATTTTTTTATACCGATCCGACTTAAGATTCAAAACTTTTTGATTTTTAGCCCACTCTAATGTATACACTGCACATATAGTGGTTAAATGATAAAGAAAGTACAAAATTTTCCTCAAGCCTCCCTCAAATTCTTTGCCTCAAAGCAGATTAAAACGAATGTGGTGAAACTTTTTGGTTTAGCTGATTTAACATTTTTTTTTTTGCTTAACCACTTGCCCCGACCCCTACTCTAAAATGCAAATTAAATGCACCAAAGTGTTTGTGGAAAATTAAATGGAAATAATTGAATTAGGCTTAAATCAAATGACAGCCATTCAATTGAATTCCAATAAAAGTCAACAGTCGCATTGAATAAATAAATATGTAATCATTATAGATTCGTGTTTAGGTGTGGAAAACCCATGGAAACATTTGAGCAGCTTCGAAAATTTGCATAAGCCACCAAAGAAAACTAACCGAGGGGAAAAACTCAGCACTCAAGACTTTCTAGTTGGTCGATTTTATTCGCAAGGACGTGTGACAGGCAGCAGGAAAAGCTGCCAATTAGAGCAGGATGTCCATGGCAGGATTTAGTTTTGCAAATACACAGAAATGGAAATCTTTTAAATAAATTAAAATCTCAAATTCCACCATAGGCAAATAAAAATCTGCCTCTCAACACTTTATAGTTCTCTCGACGAAAAATCCATAATTAATTGTCGGAATAAAAACATTTAAATCAAACGAAAAGTGGCAGAAGTGTGTGAAATGTCGTATAAAGATATCTCTTTCGCTCTGCCTCTGTGTGCCGTACTCCATTAATTCCCCAAGGATATGTTTCCACTCTGAGAACGAGAATGAATATGAATGTGCATCGTATATTTTGGTAACTTGAGTCGCCTGCATTGGGGATTTACCAAACAAACCTACACAAAAAACGAAGAACACAAAAATTGTCCAACCAAAATTTATTCTGTTGTCGCTTTAGAATAGAGCAGAGCAGCCACCAAGGACCCACTAAAAAAACCAAGGATAGAACACATAAAAATACAGATACAATTTGGCAGAAACAAGCAGATGTTGACTGAAAAAAATATATAGTTGAAGAACTGCAGTCACCATGGGCGCAGTGCTAGAATACGACCGAGGAATACCCTAGATTGAAGAATAACTAAATACGCAAGTTCCAAATTGTATGAACACTGTCTGAAACCTGCATAGATAAGGATAAGATAAGGACGTTTTACTAGGCAGTTCAAGATCTCATTAATATCAATGTTGGACCACTAGGCATTTAATTATTCTGAAAATATTGCGAATGTATAAAGGAAATGTAACTTAACAAAGGGCGTTGCGAATTGCAAGTGTGCAGCATGGATTACCTTAATTTTGAAAATTTCCAGCTCATTGTATGCCCATTGTATTTCAGACAGGACAGGAGACAGAAGATAGGAGTGGAGTGGAGTCGAGAGTTGAACCGAGGCCAAAGTCACATGAGAGCAATTTTAAAACAGTAAAAGATATAAAGCAAAGGCAAACAACTGATCAAATCTCGACGCTATTGCAATGGGCGTCGTTTTCTGAAATGACGTCTTAGATGGGAGCATACGAACAGCTAAGACAAAAAAAGAACAGACTAAGCCTGGAACCTAAAGAAGTGGTGCAAGTGGAGCAAGAAGCAGATGAAGATGGCAAACAACTGAGGCTGCAATAAATCCCCGGCACGGCAAGACAAGCCAATGGAGGAGCTGCAATATTGGGAAGCAGTTGAACCTCCTTGGTGCTTTGGTCCTTGGGTGCTTTGGTGCTTGGGTTCCTGGGTCGAATAGCGCAACAGAATGTCAATTACTTGGATGTGAGGTTAGGTCAAAGAAAGACTTGATTTTCATTTGGAAATTCCCCACTCTGCCCCAAGAAAGGAAGGGTCACTTTTTTGGGGCTCTTCCGATTGCCTTTGCCCTCGTTCCTTTGACTAATTTAAGTCTGTTGCATTCGGCAATCGTTTTGCGGAAAGCAATAAATTTTCATGCAGATGCAGGAAATTTTAAGGATTAAGGGATACAAGCAATTTTTTACCTCCTTCCGCCCACCTGATTGTGTGGCTCGATTTGAGGTTTGATTTTTCATATTCCATCTGCATCTCTCACCTCACCACACCTCATCCTCATACTACCCTTTCCCTTTGTGCATTTGCAGTCGAAAAGTGAACTGAAGTTGAGTATTACGTCGTGGCTTTGTCCCGGCCGGTCCGGTCGTCCTGAGCTCAGGTCCAAGCGTTTTTCTGTGGGCTTTC